TTATTTTTATCTCGCCGATGTGACTGTCCAATAAGCGAGCATAGAGAGTAGATACCGACGCGCTAAATGTGGATTGCGTTACGGATTCAGCTTTTCTTAACACATATTAAGTAAAAACTTGGAGACTAAAACGTGAATGTTAATAGATTAAGAAGTATCATATAAATTATATAAAAAAATGGTTTTTAAACATACAGGAGCTTTTGCGCTTTTGGAAAATAGTTCCAGCTACACATCGAAATCTTAAACGTTCCAACCTTTTTTATGTAATCACATCAAAGTGACTGCCATAAAACTTATCTTTCATTATTTAATTTTTTAAAATAAGTTCATTTACAAAAATTTTTTGTATATAATAATTGTAGCCATTATTTTTAGGTTGGAGTGGAACGAGCATTCTACATTTTACCCCAAAAACGGAAACAAACGACTAGTCGCTCCATATAATAAAAAATAAAAAAATATTATTTTATTTTTTTAAGTAGATAGCTGGTAATTTGAGGATTCCGTATTAAGAGGAAAAGTGTTATAGTATAAATGTTGTTTGATTAGTATATAAGGATAATTGGTGTATGAATTTTCTTCAAGGAAGTGCTGCGCGTGATCACCTTACAAACATTTTATTTAAAGTACAAGGTTTACAATATTAAACCATGAATCGATAGAAATCATTGTTTTTATTCCTATTTCGTTATGAGCGTAAATATTATAGTCATGAGAATAACTTATATACAGTAATTTATTTTATTCATATCTGGCTACAATTACAGATTCAGCCATATTAAGCAACACCCTTAAGGCTTAAAAGGTTTTAAATTACATTATTATAGAAAAAGCCATCAGAAATACAGCAAATTTAATGATGATCAGTTTCAAAATAGACAAATTTTTGTTTAGAATATTTTTATACTTAAAGCGAACTAAAGTCTAAGCGAGCCTAAGTGTTAAAACTATGGCATTGTTTATTAAAGAACATCGATCCAGAAAAGCAAGTAAACAGTGTACAATATTAGAAGCATTAAAGACAAACATAAGTCTGTGCAAAGTATTGAAGACGAACATAAGTCTACATAAACTATGTCATACAGCTACTTACAAGCCGCACTGAAATACCAACGCGCGACCATTGACTTAGTAGCCGCGAGTCTATCCGCTGCACAATGCGGTAGCCCAATGCACGTAAAGGATGTTGATATTACTTTATTAATGTTAAATGTATTGTAATTAAAAGTAAAGCAATTGTGATAGTAAAAACAGTAATAACAAATATAATAAACGTGAATAAGGAGGTATGACGACTGTACTATTTTACAGCTTTTCTTTACTTAACGACTATGCGATTTTAGAACTTTGCCTGCCGCCATCTAATGAACGACTGACTACTTGCTTCTTTCTGTTTCTCTGCCAAGTCACTTTGTCCATTTTGCTTTCTGTTGACTCTATCATTTTATATGTATATTCTCTAACTAAAAGTGAGGAATAATAACTGTAGGTTGTCTCGTAGGTTACCAATCCTAGGACCTTTAAATCGCATGCATTTAAAAATGACCAATCGTTTTGAAACTGCTCCGAAGTCGTCTTTCTAAAAAATAGAAAATAAATTGTTATTATTGAACACCTGGCCGCTTGTATAATTGGCGTTCCTGCGGCAGACGCAAAAGTTTCATGAAAGTATTCTATTACGGATTTTCTCATTATTTCGTAGCACTGTATTCATAGTTCTAACTAAATTTTTCCTAAAAAATAAAGAGTAGAATCTAAAATTTGCGTACACTCGTCGATTCTCTCTAGTGGAATATTGGTGTCTGCAGATTTCATGTGGCAGAGTTCACGTTTCTGCGAAATAGATCAAAGAGTCATTTAATAATAGTTTCCCTCCTCTGACATCGTTTAAGTGTCCACGTAAGTTTTGGATTTGTGGGAGAACACCATACATCATAACACGTACATCTCTTATATGAGTTAAATTGTTACTCGTTGTCAAATCTGCGCGGGGTCTGCCGAATTCTATTTTTACTGGATCGAAATTTTCTAATGATTTTGGAGCGAGAATGGATAATGTGGTTAAAAAGGACGCGTGGTTAGCCTTTCTGCATGCGACATAAATTGTGGCTGTACGTATCCTCTTTTTAAGATGAACAACTATTTATGGCCACATAGCACCTCGACTTTTGCGAATGGTGATCCCTCCGATAAGAACAAGGGAAAACTGCTTTTCTTCAATATTTATAGCCTTATATTTTTTGAATTGAAAATTTTTAATAATATTTGTAATTAAAATCCAAAGAGATTCTGATTAATATTCTTGATTAAATTTCTTACTGCAGGCGTCAGCACCTACAAGTAGGATAAAAGAATGCGATTATTGCTAATAAAACCTGTTAACAATTCACCAAAAGCTTCTAAAACACTTCAATGCTAATTTAGTGATAATTACTTTCAATACTAAGGTATTTATATGAAATACGCATTGAAACAAGAAAATTTAGGAAATCATAGAAATTAATTGAAAGGTGTTTGTCACAATTGGTGTTAACGGTGAAATTATGATTTACAAGAAGGGACGAAAAACAATGAAGACAAAAACGACAACTAAATACATCAACATGTGATTCGTTTTTAAGACGAAACTTGGCTAACAAAGGCTACAAATGCCACCAAAATTTTGCCAACAACAGGAGTCAAAGTTTCGTTTTGATTTTGAGTGCACCAATATCTCAAAATCGATTACGTGGTACGAAACGGTGGTAGTGTTTCGTTAGACTATAGCGTTCGATTTCTTTGGAATTGTAATAAGCTTTTCACTCGCTGAATGTTTAAGGAGTTGTCCATGACATTATAATCTAGATTTTTAATACTCTTTTGTTGTCTTTTCAAATGACTTGTTATTAAGTTGAGCTTGAAGTTAGTAATGTTGTCAAAATTAATCCTTTTCGTTTACACGAAGAATCCGTAACAACCGTAACTGCACGTTAACGCAATTCGTGCATAAGCCTTAGTCCAGTTCATAGTTCGTAAAGGAATTATCAAATATGACACATGTACGTAATAGGGCTAACAGTTCCTAGAAGATTTTTCGTTAATTCCTTGCTTACAGTACTCTTTTATTTTACTATACCGACGAGTAAAAGCGTGGAAAATGATTACTTCATTTTATTCTTTCTCCCAACACATTGAATTTGTGTCGACAACCAGATTAGGTACTCGTTTTATGTCGATTAATTGAACCAAACATATGCTTTTTATAATAATAAGTTATGTTACTTTCCTCTGGAATATGTTACTCGACAACAATTTTACGTCCGAGAAGGAAGGTGAAATTTTACATTCGATATCGAGAAAAATCCACAAACGAAAATACGCCGTCAATCAGCTACCTGTTATAAGCTTTGCAATGAAAGTGTTGACATCTAATGTAAAAATTAGGTTCTGCTTTTGTTTAAATCGAAAATGGGAATTTTACTTCGGTATTCGTAGGAGAACATTCACGCAATTTAATGCTTGTTGAAATTTTAAAACTCAATGCCGTTAGAAAAAAAAAAAGTAAAGCTCCTAATTAATACCCTACATTACCTTGCCTTATTCGTTCATTATAACCGGGATATACTAAACCGTATGCTTTGTGTCCATGTAAAGCTGCACTTTTGATGAAAGCTCTTCATATAAGCGAACAAAGCGTGAATTAACATTACCAAAATTTATCAAATTTAAGTTTCTTGCTAAAGATTTCATTGCTTTTCATCCATTTTTCTCATAAAAAACTAAAAATTTGTTGCCCTATAAAGGCTTATATATCATAAGAAACCTTTGTAGGGTGGGCTTTACAAAATTTGATGTCTATTTGCTATGGTTAATTTGCATGCCAAACTGCTGCCTGTTGCATGTTTTCATAGTCCAATATTAAAAACTAATCCCTTATGCTATGTAAAGGCTGAGTTATTATGAGGACCTCTACATGAAATTGAGTCCAAAAAATATACAATATCCCCTTTCATCATAAAATATTAAAAATTATGTTTTTTTCCTACTTTTAATTAGAAGTGGTCCAAGTCGGATAAAGTTGATTTTGATATTGACCATTATGCTGAGTATTACGAAACAATTTTGCCCGCGAAATATTGGAAATTACATCTTTTTACGATATGTAGTTTCAATTGTTGTAGGAGCAGTTATACGGTAGGGGATTCAAATAATCCGAACCTAATTTTACACATCAACTTAGTAAGTTAAAAAATTATTAATCAGCGATTTTTGCCCAGAAATTAGAAATTATTTTTATATAAGGTGCTTCAAAACAAGGCGTTATGCGGGCAGTGATCGCAGAGGTAATGGGCCCCAATACAATTTCAATAGGACTCGTCCTTGGCCCAAAATCATCAAAATAACTCGACTTGCAGGCTAAACACAAGATCACAGAACTGACAGATGGACAGACACCTTTACTTTCACTTTCTGAATTGATCGGTATAACAAAAGGTGTCTTAGATAATTTTGGGTGTTGCAGAAACTTAGTGTGGCTCTGCACGACAATTGGTTTAATGTCGAAAAACGTTTGATTTTTCAATATTTAATGGTGAAAATTTGTCAATAATATGTAATTTTATATAAAAACGCTTTTTATTACCACAAAATTGAAGGAATAACTGAATTAGACAAAGTGATGAGTGGCATTTCATTGTCGGCCGTATTATAAAATTTTTGCTTATATTTACATTGCTTTCGTGAATTTGTAAAATGCTAAATTTGCGAATTTTTTTTGTTGCTCATTATTTTAACTAGGAGTCTTTTAAGGTACTATTTCACAATATTTCGTCTTTTTACTGACCATGAATAGTAGCCACTTCTGATAAAAAACCTGAAAAAAGATTTCGAATATTGATATCACACATTTTCTGGCTGTCTATGGACTTTTTAATATTAGTACTCGACAACCCCGATAGATATTTGTAATCTTTATACTATATAAATCGCAATTTCTATTTAATTTATTACCTTTTTAGAAGTCTTTCACCGACAAATGCCAAGCCAGAGAATCAAGATGATGGTTACGAAACAAGCGCTGGTGATGTTCTTACTCCAAATTCTCATGTTTCGTCGACACATTCGGTGACACCGCAGCATCACATGCAGCACGGTACTATGACTTTATTACCACCGGCTGCTAACTGTGATGAACAACGACACGTTCATCACATCCAGATCCAACGTCAGCAATCGAATGTTGATTCTCAGTTGAATAATAATCTTGGTGCTGATTTGACAAGCGGAGATACAAGCGTAAATATGCCACCAAGTGAACCGTCCTACCATTTCGTAGATGATGAGCTGACTGTTAATGAAACAATCCGCGGCATATTAACGCCGCCTCCCCAAACTCATAATTCGTTAGCAGGATGTAAATCTCAAGATAGTCACTCCAGTTACATGAATTTGAACAATAATCCTGCGCGTAACACACCTCACGCTGATCTATTTGGTATACAACAAGCACCAGAATCCATGCGCAGCTCCAGCGATGCTGTATCCACTCAGAAACATCCACAAACTTGTTTTGAACTGCAATGTCCTAACAAATGTCATAATAAGTCTCAGCAAAATCATGTAATATTTCCAGAGAGTTCAGGTTGTGCTGAAGTAAGCGCGTTTTGCAACATAGCAACACCCATACAAAAGAGAAGAGGACGTAAGAAAAAACTAACCTTTATTGGAGGTACAACATCTCTGGAAAAGTAAGCCATTCATATTTTTTTTTTTTGTAAAAATTGTCAAATCAAATTGTAAAATTCTGTAATTTTTAGCTGTACTTCCCACAATCTAGATGCAGGATGCCATACTGAACAATTAGGAAAAGCTAAAGAGAGAAAAAAGCATGATCGTTTTAATGGAATGTCGGAAGAAGAAGTTGTTAAACGCACCTTGCCAGACCATTTGTGTGATAATTTAGATATTGTAATAGTGAGTGTAAATTTCCTCTTCATTTATATCTCTAAATTGATATTTAGTTACAATTCGACAAGTGCGACAATTTCTTGCAAATAGTTAGTTTTTTGCAAGTATTCTTATAATTACATCTTGTTGGAGGAATATCTCGTTTAAATCAAATGTGGATGAAGATTCATCTCACTCGCCAAATATAGTTTGCCACTTTTTCGAAGAGGACGGTTACTACAATGATGTGGGTTTTATATAATACGAATGATTAATTATTTTAGTACGCTGAGACTATATATTTCGGCAGATATTTTTTTACGAAGGTTTGATTTTAAAATACGCATGTAGACGATCTTCTAGAAGGAAAGCAGAGTGTTTCTTATATGTGAAAATATTTACCCCACTACATTTATGCCCACTACATATTAAATGTTATGTTGAACCCGTAGTTCTAAGAATTTAAATACAATAAGGAGGATAATCTAAAATTGTTTTGACAGTTTGAAAGAATATAAATTTATCTTTCAAAAGGGTTATCATATTGCGGCTTACTTCTCTTCCACAAGCATGTGTTTCGGAGCGAATAGGCTAGTGCTTCCGAAGGACCGACGAAAATTTGAAATATTGTAGATGTTTTTTCGAGGTAGTATTAGTTTTTTTATATTGTGAACATACTTGGGGGCAGGGCACAGCATTGATTTAACCTTGAATTTTTGCCTGTTCGTACCAGACGTGCCTAGCTTCATTTTTGCGGCTATGGTGAATCCGTAAAAGCGATTGGTTAAATTGACCCACTTTGGTAGAACTAGATATATGTCGACGACATCGCGAAAACTACATCAAGCAGAAAGAGCTGATTGTGGGTATTTAAAGTTTTCTTCATATATATAAACGTCTTCAAAAATTTGTGAAGCTTTACATGTTTTATAAAAATTTTTTTTAAGTCCAAAAGTTGAGAAATTCAATTGATCTTGAGGCAAACAGATAAGTTCTTAAGTTGTGTTGTATTGTAGGCTGGTATTTTCAACCATTTATCGCATTTCAATGCCAATACGTATGCTACAACTTCTAAAACTTGAAGGCGATATCTTCATTTATTTTCATCCGAGCCATATATATTCCCATCGTTAGTTTGTGGGTAATAAAAAACAAAGATTTTGGAAATAAATTGGGTTTTTTATTTATCTATTTTATCTTCCGATTGTTTTACTCAAGGGTAACTCAAACAATAGCATGTTAATCATGTTTTTCGAAATTATCCAAAGATATCGTTTTAGTTTTGATAATCCGCCTGAGTGGCCGAGTAGGCAAGAGTCTCGACTAGCAACTCAATTATCCTGGGTTCAAATCTCAAGTGCGGTAGAGTTTTTAATAAAAGCCGAAAGCCTTAGACGCTAGTGCTTTAAGACTTTAGTCTTAGAATTTATTCTTTGGCTAAATTTATAATAATAATAATAATACTAATAATAACTTTGATAATTCTAATACAATGCACACCAAAGAGTGTCTAAAAAATAAAAGCGACCAAACGCCGAATTATAGGTACGTGATAAAAATCATCCTTCTATCTCTTGTGTTTAGCAATGGACGGAAGCGACCTTTTACTTATTTATATTCGAGAAAATGATAGAAGTTAAAAAAGACCATCATGCAATTCCACTCCAAATATGTTCAACATTTACAATGTTCAGTCAAAGAATTACAACAAGCAGGTCTAATGACTTTAATTTCCGAATATATCCACATCTAAAATGATACACAAACTCAGAGTGACTCAAACATTAACAGAAAGATTTTGGTTGCTGCCTTTTTCTTGGCCGAATTCTCCAGAGACATGGGTCGTTCTTTCTGACGGCTAATTTACTTTTAAAGGTATAGGCAATGAATAACCAAATGCGAGCACATGTTGTGCTCACTACTGCAAGATGTTACATTGTTCGTTTTTGACTTTGCCCGAAATTCACTTGCACACAATAGTTTAAAAGGACTATTAGTTGAAAGACATACTCTTTGTGAGAATACTAGGTTTAAAAAGGCACTGTTCGACTGCTATACGGGCTACTGGAATTTAATCAGACGTTGTCGTTGACAGAAATGCGTTAGACAACGAAATACTAAAAAAACTATGATTTATGAAGATATCCAAAATTATTTCAGTTGCACTAATTGATTCAAGCGTTGGTGGCAAGCAAGAGTTCATGAAATGAGCTCATAATATTCGGGATGTCTTTGCCAAATGAGATATTACCCATTCCGCCCATCAACAAAGAGATATTACACAACGTAATTAAAAGAGAAGCTAGCATGTGCGCCAACTTATCCAAAAGATGCAATTCTCAATTATTTTCACAATCCATTTTACGCGGGTCCAGATCTCGATTAAGGTACAGAATCAAATCCCATAAGCGATGCTATTACCACTGTACGTTTGGTAGTAATGCTAAGAGGTCCAACGAACGTTGCACTCCCTACCAAATACGACCAATAATCTAATTTCTGCCACTGTAGTGACGACGGACAATTCGAACAAAAGCAACAAATATTTATATTTGAGGGGACACGAAATAAAAGTTTAAATAAAAAATTATTGGAGCGGAAGTATCTGTCTACTATATTTTCATATTATGAAAGTACTTCCGATGTTATACTAACAGCTGTAATAGACTCAACAATTAAAACATATGGAAAAACATTACACTTGAATTTAAATTTGCGACGTCAATTTTCTTTGATATCTTTGATCGCTAACCTTAGTCCGCCGATTTTTGGAGTTGATTTTTTTGAAAATATGCGGTTTATTTGTAGATGTTAAACGCCAACATCTAGCAGAGCTGTTGGTAAATATATCCATTAATGCTATATTACCATTTTTTTTTCTACGACCGGCAGCTTAAGAGATGTCCGCTGTATGTGCGGTCATGGAAGGGGTGTAGGAAGAGAGGGATTTGTGAATGTTCGACCAAAGGTGGGAAGCCCGGTTAAAAATGACGATTTGAAGGATTTAATTCTTTTATATCTCCGTAGAACACTTGCCATGATTATGCCGATACACAAGTGCAATACTACCCACATTACGCCGATGCTTAAGGGTATCGAGAGTTCTGGACACACTTTCGACACACAGGAGCATCTGGGCCTTTCACTGTATGCGGTCGAGGGCCTCCAAGCGAAGTTCGGAAGCTCGTTACTACACATGCGAGCTGTGTTCTAATTTTGGCTGGCCACAGATGGTGTAAATGGTGCGGAAATCGGTTGCAATGAAGTATTTAGATTTAGAAAACGAAATGTATGCGTTAACAATGATGGATAAAATGGCACTACAGTACAATATATATGTACATAGGTTAAGACATATAATAACTGTGGGATGGAGTCATGGTGACCATAGGCGTTGTGATGTGGAGTGTAACGAAGCGGTTGCCTCGTTGAAACATTTTGCGGGGTTACCCCTTTTGTGATTCTAAATGCAAACGTAAATAAAACATATCTCTGAGATTTGTATAACATTTTTTTTTAGTTGCTCCTTGGACCTCGCCACTATTCGCCCAAGTACAACATCAGTGAGATGTTCCCCAGGGGAGTCTTACGGAACTCTTACGGAACTGGACCCTTTTCACCCAATTTTTGATGACTTGTTTGCAAATAGCGGTCAATACCTAGGCCGTAACTTGACGAATATTTCTTTTTAAAGTTTTAAGTGTTCGAAAATTGTTCTTATAGACTGGATCCTCTAGTTTCTAATTGTGGTGATTCTCGCTACGATTAAGTGCCTAGTACCTCAAGTAAACTCTCTGAAGTGCCGTTTTTATTTAGATTTTTATTTGAACTCGAATAATATTGATTTTTGTATTTTAAGTGAAATTTTTCTGAAAGATGACAATTTTTTTTGAAATTAAAATTGTCAATTGTACTTCAGCCTATTTGCTATAATGCTGTTGACAGTTTTATTACCGAAACCATGAATCTTAAACCGAATATTTTCATAGTATCATACTATCATTATACTTTCCACCCAATGTTGCTTTCCACAAAATGTGATTCTAGCTGGAGATTTCAATGCTAAATATTGCTTGTGGGACCATCGGCTCCCAATCGACAAATGCAAGATCCCTGTAAATTCCATCAATGCCAGCAGTTTTATCGTTTCAAATAATGGTAATCCCACCTTTTAATCGGAGTGATCACACGGCGAGCAGTACCTAGGATCTAACTTTCTCTGATCTACCTATTTTATCATTCAATTGGTATACGAATAATCTCTCAATTGGCAAAAGTCGATACTCTTCCATTTTATTTCACAGTCGCCGCAATTCCATTAAAAAAATAAAAAATTTCATTTCACGTAACTTCCTTATGGACCGTCTGTTTAAAGTTGATCTTCCTTCCGATTTATATTTAATTCAAAGTGCTTTCAATCTGAAATCAAGTCTGCTAGAGCCAACATTCTGATGTTGAGCCCTTCTCACCTAAACTTTGGCTTACCTTTTCCCAGTTGACACCCTTTCCTCGATACCAAACAGCAAAGAAAGAAAATATGCCAATTCAGCCAGCTTTTTCATTGAATATATGAAAACACTGAAGGAATGGAAGTCCGAAGTTAAAAAGGAGAAAAGAACACATAAAGCTGCCATGATTAAAGAGTTGTGTGGCAATGGCAACTTGCGTTTTTTCTGGAATTATATCAATGGTCATCGACATTTTAGTGAAAAATTAAATAGTTGTGCTCTATAAAACGAGCAAAATAGTAAAAGGTACTTAGATATGCTCGAGAGCTACATGCCAAGTGCCTATCAAATGCAATATCTTCAATTCCTTTTAGTAGTCTCAATAATATACCCTTCTTATTACGTGAGTTAATGTATTATTTACATTCCGGAAAGAAAGCTACCGCTGCAGGTTGTGATGGAGTTAAGTACGATATAGTTGAAGCACTGTCGGGAGAAGCCTAACTAACTGTTCTGTTACATGCAATTTATAACCGCTGTTCAATTAACTTTATACCCTTAGATTTGCGATGCGTCAAAGTTTTTTCCATTCCTAAAGCATGTAAAGAACTAAATGCTTTAAAAACCTTCAGAGCTATTTCGCTAACATCTGTATTCATAAAGATTATTAATCTTTTGATTGAAGAGAGACTAACTGATTTCTCGAAACTGGGAACATTACACCCGCTCGTTCTTATGCAAATTTACGAATAAGTGCGTTAATAGTCTATCTTTTCTCACAGCTAGTCTAAAGAAATCTGGTAAAATGGTTGTTATGCTTTCTCTGGATATCAGCAAAACCTGTGATTGCGACAACTTTGTGAAGAGTGGTAGAATTCTCTTCAACTTTTAAATTAATCTTCAAATACACCTATGTATATTAAACTTTATATACAGACGTGTCTTGGTAATGGGTATAAAGTTCAAATATACGGTGGTATTCCACAAGGCAGTTGCTTGAGCCTCATACCCTACAACTAATTTGCATAATCTTCATGGCGATAAAGCTCATATTTTTCAATAAGCAGATGATTTCTTAATTATATCTGCGGATTCATCCTTTTCAGTGGGCGTGGATAATCTCTCGATAAAAGCTAATCTTTTTTTCGATGTATGTACCGATCTTAATTAGGAAACTAGGCTCTTAATCAAAGGAACTAAAGTTAATTTCTTAGATTTTTTTGGTAGAATTGTAAATGACGGTCTAACTCACGATATATATTCTTTTCTTTAATCAGAATTTATCTCTATAACATTCTTTTTTTCAGCCAAAGATTGCAACGCTATTTTCACATAACTTTTCAACAACTCAAAAATCTACACTTACACTTAATATATCGGCTTTAGCTATCATGACCGCATATTTTTTTCCTCGTTTTTTTGTATACATTTCTTGCAAATAATTACCACTGTTTATTATCCGAACATAAAAGCCAAGAATCTTATTGGCTTAATGTACCTTAATTCAGCGTCCAAAGAAAAAAAAAAATACCTTACAGCTTTTATTGTTAATCGATATCATTGTCAGCATTGCTTTAGTTTTATATATAGTTGATTTTGTATAAAGAATTCAATACAGAGCTTGACAAAAAAACACTATTTTAAAACTGTTTTTTTCTCCGGCAGATTGGCATCAATCCCGGCTTGTTTGCTGCTTACAAAGGCCATCATTACGCTGGTCCAGGAAATCATTTTTGGAAATGCTTATATTTGTCTGGCTTAACTCAAGAACAAATGAGCGCAGATGAGGATTATAAGTTAATAAAATGTGGCATCGGATTTACAAATATGGTTCAACGAGCTACAAAAGGTTCTGCAGATCTTAATAGAAAAGAAATTAAAGAAGGTAGTCGGATTTTGCTGGAAAAATTACAACAATTTCGCCCAAAAATTGCCGTGTTTAACGGCAAATTGATTTTCGAGGTGTTTTCCGGGAAAAAAGATTTTAACTTTGGACGTCAACCCGAGTACGTAGAAGGGACTGATACGGTGAGTAAGGTTGCATATATATTTTTGTATTCGCTTATAAGTTCTGATATTCCTTTACATAGTTTATGTGGGTTATGCCTTCATCATCAGCGCGTTGTGCTCAGTTACCCCGTGCTGCAGATAAAGTTCCATTTTACACTGCACTGAAAAAATTCAGAGATTATTTAAATGGTTTAATATCGCACATAGATGAATCCGAATGCGTTTTTACAGAAGAACGCATTAGAGAGCAATGCGAACAAGAAAGTTTGAAAACTTTTGTCATTCATGACAGTTCACAACAACAACAATCCAGATGTTATTCGGCTGCTGGAAATATTGGTCCAAATAATAGCAATCAGTCTCAAAATTCATCTGCCATCGCAGATAGCTATATTTATGATTCCGAAGCTAATCGCAACCAGACTGAAGGTCAGGTACCTTCACTCAATGAAAATGGTTTTATGATATCTTCTTCATCGTTCTTAGGTCAAAAAATACCTGAAAAAAAGAAGCGTGGTCGTCCTAAAAAAATTAGAAATCAAATTATAATTGACCCGGTAACCGGTACAAAGATTCAAGTAACTAATCGTTTAACAGGAGAAGAATATAATAACATTCTTAATCTTTCAATGGTTCCGAGCATGGAAGGTGATATTCCGAAAAAAAAGCGAGGACGTCCGAAAAAAGTTAAGCAACCTCAACCTTTTTTAAACACAAATTCACATCCCTCTAAATTAACCCAGAAAGCTAATATAATGTCCGTGAAAACTTTATCTGTGCCTAATGGGGATTTGGAGTTACCACCACAAAAGCATATGCTTCACGGTGAAAGTACGGCGATGTATGCTACATCACCTCATCAGATGATGTATTCGAATTCAGGTTCGCCTACGGCGTTGTCCGCAATAAGTTGTTCATACACGAAAAAAACTCCACCGATATTAGCAACAAGTAACCCAAATTGCGAGAAACATACCAACGTTGGTGAAACGGAGGTTATCGGCGCACCGGTGGACACAGATACGCCTAGTTTAGTGATCCAACTTATGCCAAGTGCTGCAGATAGCAATGATCCTCACATGAATCAATCACCAAGAGAAAATTCGCCGAATTTACAAGGGCAAGTGGAAACGTCTGCGAGCATAGTTAGCAGTGCGCAGGTTCTTGATCTTGAAGACGAGGAAATTATTTCATTGCGACACAGGCAGGAAGTGCCAAATTCACGTTACGGCAGCCCTGGTCAAAGAGAACGAGCTGAACATGCTAGTGGTGAACCTTTTCATCAATGGCTTTCTCCTCAACTTTCACATACACATTCACCCACTGCAGGTTTCACGCAAAGTTTGCAACCACAAATACGTTGTCCGTCTCCGTTATCACACAATCAGCAGCCAGGCCTTCACTATCATGAACAACAGGTGCAGCACATTCAAATGCAGCAAAATCATCAGCAACAAGTGCTTCCGCAGTGGTCTCGCCATAATCAACATTATGATGATGTCAGCGGTACACTTTACATAGTGTCCCCACGTCAAGAGAGGAGTCATCACATTGCTGAACAGCACCAAAATAATGTGACATCACCGTTCATTACAGCTGACGTATCCCGTAAAAGTCTTTCAGGATTGGAATCCCTAGTCGACCAGATTCCAACGATTTCTGAAAATGAATCTGCAACTTTGGCAGCATCGACGCCCACTATTCACGCTCACAGCCTGCAGGGGCAATCACAGCAACAAACTTCCTTCACGGAAGCTCAAACTAATCCTTTTGGATCACCTTCGATTAGTAACCCAAGTGTTTTAAATGATAACGTAAATAATCAACATTCAAATCTAAGCTCTCAAAGTGTAAACGGCAATTTCTCTGTAAGCAGTTTAGTTACGTCTTTGCCGACATCAGATGCTAACCTAGCTAACCGAGAAAACTATACACCAATTCAAACTCCTCGACCACCTAGTGCCAGAAATACCTACCACCATTCTAACTTCATGGCAGCTGCGGTTTTGGCGGCTGCCGCTGCTAGCTCTCCGACGAACCTTTCAACTTCTACTTCCCATCATGCCCCTCATCCTCAAATGTACATGGATCCGCAAACCCGATTAGCCGCTGTTGACTCTATTTATTCCACTGCTCACCATCACCACCCCATTCATCATCATCATCACCCATCAAGCCATCATCACCCGGCAACTCATTACAGTTCTTCCCAACATGCTGTCGACTACGATGGTAATCCTTACAGTACTCAAACTAATGCTCACACGTTGCACATGCCTAGTCCTAACTACCCGTATAGTTACTCTACGTCTGCAGCTCAAAGCAATTATCCCACATATGGTCATCCCCACGCTGCTCACCACGGTCATCCGCATGCACACCCACACTCCCACGCTACACACCATTTATCTATGTTTGATCGTTTCAAACCCTCCGATATAGGAGGTTATGGAGGTTTCTGATGGTGATTTACAGATGTAAGTATGTAACCAGTAGAAGGCGATAAAGATGGTAGATTCAACCAAAGAAAAACACATGTTAAGAATTTATCCTGTAACTTCTATGGAAAGAACTTCAACGATTTAAACATAAAAGTCGATATGTAAATATATATATAAAATACATGATTACAATTTTATGTGGATGGGTGTACATAAATAATGTTCAATAATCAAATTGTTATTTAATCCGCACTTTATTAGATATTGAGCCTAAAAAATCGCTTAAGCCAAACATTTCAGTTATGCAATTATTTCTGTGACTTAAATTTTAAATCTAGGAAAACTATTATTTAAACGAAACTATCTTGTTACTCAAAACTTTTATTGTGTACAAACAACATACATATACAATTGTAGTAATCTACTTGCAAAATTTAGAAAGATTTAGTTCACGTTAAGTTAAATTTCAAAGAATTAGTAACAAATACATTATCAGTAACGATCGATCATTTTTTATTTCGATGCTTATGAGTAGAAAAAGGGTGAAATTTTGTTGCTCTGTAACTTGGTGCACGGGTTATTACAACTTCCAAAAGGGCTAAAAATTGCCCGCGGCAATTAAAAATTGTACAAATTTGAATTTGAAAATTGCTGAAACTAGCTAACTTCGATATACAATTTGGCATGGTTTCATGCAAAATAAAGAATAACCAATTTTCATTCGACTACCTAGGAACTTCTTATGCGCACATGATTCTGTCGCACTTATTCATTTTTGTTCTACTTTGAATAGCAGAAAAATTTTATCGATATAAAGACATCAACTGAACATCTGGTAATCGAATTACATCACTCTTTTCCCCCTTTGCTTCTTCTTTGTATTTGCCACGGAACGACGGTGGTATATTTCTTTTGTCAAAATCTGCGTAATCTATAGACAGAAGTTTCAGAGACCCGATAAAATATACATATTCTTAAGCAGTGTCAAATTCGAATTCCACTTAGGCATATCTGTCCCAAGATGGCTCAAACCCGTCAAAGGTCACGTCTACAGTGAAACATAAACTGGAAATACCTCTGTGAAGAACGTTTCACGTGTATAAAAGATTCGATCACAGCTGAAAGTAATTTCCTTAGTTACTTTTTTTATTGTTGTATACACCCGGCTCTTTTTTTACACTTTAGATAGAATAGATATAGATCCATAGGAGTCAGTCCAAAAGAATATATGCAATTTGGTAAATTTGGAGATACGTTCCACAGTTTTAAAAAATCATGTAAAATGGAAAAATATTTTTCAAGAAAACCGAGCAAAAATATTAATAATGAAATCCATATTATATTCTATAGAACAAAAAAAACATTTTTATTACAGAAAGGAATTAGAACAAGTAAGAAAGTTATATTCGATTAAAATCTTTGGCACCGCATGCTCCTATTTATTGTCACAAAGAAGTGAATGTGCTAAAATTTATCTTTCACTGAAAAGTGACTTCCGCTAAACTTAATTTAGAATTAACGCACTTAGCTTTTCGCACTCCACGTGCCAAGTTCTTTTATTTGATGCGTATATCAAATGGTTAAGATAAAATGTATCTTTCAAGACGTGACGTCTACCATAATTAATTCCGAATTAACACATTTAGCTTGCCACATTCTACACTCGTAGACGTCGTGGTGTCCAACATATTTATTTTAGAATTTACACAATTTTTAGGCAGATAATATATTCTCATTTGAGGAATGTACAAAATAGTTTTAAACCGTCTTGTCTACCTTATGATTAATAAGCATAAAACCTAAAAAATGTGAAAAAACCAACTTTTTGAGAGCATGGCCGATTTTTTGCACATAAATGGTAGAGTTTTTAATTGATTTTTGATAACTACTTTACTTAGCTTATCACCTATGTTCTGTACTAAAATGCTTAATATTATTAATTGTATTGTATCTGTTGCGTACAAATGTGGGAAAACAAGGATGAATTTTTTTCAAATGTCGGAAGATATTAATTTTTCGTATTTCTACGTGTTTATCAATTTTTGATTTATATGGACATTATATCGGTGTTGCATGTCAATATGGGAAAAGAATGCTGGAGTGTGTTACGAAGATTAAATTTCGGGTGTCATGTATCGAGAAAAGAAATTGATATAGTGTGATGGTTTAGTGCAATTTGGTTTATAGAAATTGTCGGATTTTGTTGTAGAGAAATATGTGCAATCAGGCGAAAAAAGGTAGATAATTAGTTTGTGCCTCCAACGAATTGCGAACTCTGTAATATCCAGTTTGCTCTAAAAAAGAATTGTTAAGTCTCGAAAACCACAAAGTGAAATGTAAAAAAAAAGTATTTTCTTCAAAATTGCATATAAAGTTATTTTTTCTTCTATCAATTTTTCTGTAGCTTTACCTTTGCTTATTTTCTAAAAAAATTGCATAAAAGCATTGCTATTTTTCTTTTTTCATTTTCTAGACACTGTTTTTTTATATTTTCTTTCAATTTTTAAAAATTTTCTCTTAATATCGTTGCACTGTACTCAATTGTAGGAAAAATGTTCAGCGATCTGTTCAAGAGTACAGAACAAATATGTCACGTTTTCTGAGGTTTCCAAAGTTATGATTGAACGTCAAATTACTAACACTCGTTAATACTTAATAAAACCAATTTCACAATCCTTTTTGAAATTATATTGTTAGTGAGGTCTTAGTGATGTAATGTAATTTATAGAAAAAGCTGTTTTTCAACACCCGCTTCTTAAGTGGCATTTTTTACTTTTACCAAACACATTGTTTTTTGAGATAAAAGCTTCGCTTGCGTTACGGACTTAATACCTGTTAGGAAATTTTATAATATTCAACCTGTTGTACATAACCGGACTCCAGGTACCTGTCTTGCTGACTCTACTTACTTTATTAAATACTTCTCGTTTTACTATGATTTTAATTCTGTTGAGGGCAATAAAAAAAATTTTGGAAATTAAAAATTTTTACAGAAACATAATACGTAATTATACCACATCCTGTATGTCGCAAAGGAATTGAACATTCCCTTAAAAATTTCCCGCAATTTTTCTCTTAAACTTCCATGGGTTTTGAAAGACTACCCTTCGACATTTTTCTGTCTATGTATAAGAAAGAAGATACGTCAAGCTAACTCTTCAGGAATCTTATTGCTGAAAAAATCCCAGCACTGGAGAGTTGCGGTTGGTTGAATATTTATAGATGGGTCTAAATCCTTCCGTCTACCTCCTGTTTGCGCTGTGGTAGATGCTTCGGGAAAGGTCCTTCTTAGTCACATATTTCGCGAAAGTGATTCAACCTTCACAACCGAAGCCAGAGCTATCCTTCACGCAGGGAACGTTTCTCATAAAGATAAACTCATAACTGTCATTGTTACTGATAGTTTGTCAGTAAAAGCTATAAGCAATCTTTCGACTCCGAGATGAATCACCACAAACAAATTAAGGAATACCATTAAAACATGCGGTGATAAAATGAAAATGCTTTGGATAACAAATCTTATTGGTTTATTGGGAAGTGAGCAAGCTGATTGAGTGGCGAGGAATGCTGCTTTTGCACCTGTAATTATGGATGATGTCATGAAAAAGTTAGATCTTCAAAGATACACTGGAAGAAAATTTAAAGAGAAAATCAAGGGAGGAAATCTACAATACCATCATCAGCACTACTTTTCTACAAACCCTTCATGAATTCCATATTGCGAAACATGAGGTCATACAATTGTAACTCACCAATGGGTCTTAAAGAAGTCGTATTCCCGAATCTGAAATTGTGGACAAATTCTCACTATAAAACAAATACTTTGTGACTGTTTTAACTTTTCCTTTGTTAGAAGTATTGCATTTGGAGCAACTAATCCTATAGACATCCTAAAATCATCAACGCATATCAATACAATATGTTACTTTATTATAACTGTTAGGCTTAATATCTAATATTCTTTTCTAAAATAGACTCGAAGGATGGGGGTACAACCATGTTTGCAAATCTATTTTTGCTCAGCGTCGAATTATGAATTGGTTTAAGCATATTCGCCTAGTATAATATCTGTGACAAACATATTCCTGGTCGCAAAAGTAACGCTCTTGGCTTTAAATTTAGCAAAACTATAGGAACTACATGCATGCAGGTGGGTGTTGAAAAGCTAGTTCGAAAACACACCCACGGCACAACTTTACTTGCGACCCACTGGTTTTTGAAAAGCAAAAAAATTGGGTTTTTTATTTGTTACTTATAAAGCTGGAAACGAAGAAATTTGCGCGTATATTTCATGGACGATTCTACTATAGTAAGATGGAAAAAGTTTACCACGGCTACCCATTATTATAGAAAATTAAAATGTAATTATTTTGTCAAAACGTCAACAAAAAGCCAACAACAAACGTAAATGCTAATGTCAGATTGTCAGAAAAGCCGACTCTTACTGCAAACCGCCCCATGTAAGCAATTGTATGAATAATTATACCATCAATTCTGCTCACTATATATCAAAACTTATCTCTGCGTTATTCCCTAATGGTTTCTAAGCAAAGTTTTGCAAATTTTATATATGCCTAAATGAATGCATTGTCTAAACTGTCTATGTATTAATAACTCTACTTCCAAACCTGTACACTTGTAACCGAATGACAACCTAATCCAGAAATTGGTCTTTTAAATGAAAGACAATGTCTATGCAGGTAAAGACGGGCAAAAAGATTTCGTTTAGGTCATTTACAATGTAGTCACTAATGTAGTGGAAACCTAGGCTATCCCAATCTGTGGCGCATTCTGCTCGGTCTTTTTCGGACAGAATTGGCAAAACCGTATCGGTACTTGCAAGCTTGATTCGTCCTACTAGATATTGACAAAAAGAGAGAGGCGGCGTAGTTTTTGTTACTATTGCAAAAATTTCACCCAGTAAAAGCCAATTATGCTTATATTCGCAACAGTGTGCCACAATTTCGTACGTATATTTTCCGTTCAAGCATTTGTTCCTTTGGTGTATTAGCAGCAAAAGCAGCAGGTGAGGGAACAGAAACATGTTCCGATTTCCTTCTGTAGTGCTTATCGTTCGTGCAGATATTTCGAACAGGCGAGAAACACAACTGTGTCATCTATAAGATCACAGATACTCCATAAATCCGGATCATCTAAAAGCGAACCTTATCATGTTACCTAGGTATGAATATGGGATTATCTTCGGAATGAACTTATAGGTCCGCCTGCCATTTGCAGATCTACTGCAGTGTTCCTGCTGTTTCTATCTATGCGAGATATGAACCGAAGAACAAATTTAATGTATAGTTATGAAAACGCGGATCTTAATTGATCATCACAGAGGAACTTTGACTCGCGCAATCCACATCCCCAATAAGCGAGGAAATACACCTTATAATTAACGCATTACGCAGAAATTGGTTACATATTTAATACACAAAATTCGGATCACACACGTTGCCCATACATTGGCTACACGTACACCGATATATTTTTACTTGTTTTGATGCGAATAG